AGTCCACCTCCAAGGCCACGGCCAGCCCGGGAGCATCTCAACAAAGCGCCCCAGGACGGGGGAGGGGAGGGGGCAGGAGCTGGGAGGGGTCCCCAGGGGGCGGTCTCGGGAAACAGGCCTGTCACGCGTGTGTGACGGTGGGCACGTGTCCTGACTCAGGAGGACCCTGTCTCAGAGCAGCCCACAGCCCTGGAGGTGGAGCCGTGAGTGGGAGCCTGTGCCCCCGCCCCATGCCCACACAGGTCCCACCCCGCGCCTGCACCGGCCCCGCCCCGCACTCACGGTGAGCAGGAGGCACTTGTTCTCCTTGATGGCCCCAATGCAGCCCACGAAGCCGATGGCCATGATGAAGGTGCCGGTGACGATGAGCAGGTTGGCGGCCGACAGGGACGGGAAGGAGGAGGACAGGGTGGCGAAGTTCCCCTGCGTGGCGGCCAGCCAGATGCCCACCCCCAGGATGCCGCATCCTCCCAGCTGGGGCAGGGGAGAGAGATGGTGAGGCAGCAGCCAGGGGCGTCCCAGCAAGCCCGCGTGCACCTCGAGGGCACCCTCCCGGTCTTGTCCTGACACCCCGACCCACGGCCACCGTGACGGACAGCAGGGCCCCACCCCGAGGGCTTGGTCACACGGTGGTTGGTGGGAGGCGCTATTCTGCGGACACTCGCTTTCATGAATGGGGCGCCTGTTGAGGCAGCCTGGGCAGGGGGCCCCAGAGCACCCCCCCAACCCCCCCTCCAAGAAGCATCCCCCCCACCGCCCCCAGAACACAGCCTGCACCTCACCCATCCACACCAGGTCCAGCCCAGGGAGCTCCACCTTAGAGGCCCCAGCAGGACCCTACGAGCTCGCTCTTCCTAAAACCCGGCTTCCTCCTGGTGGGTGGCCCGGAGACCAAACACCAGACCCCAGGTGGGCGCCCAAAGCACCCTCAGGTCCCCCAGGGGTGCGGGCAGGCTTGGGCAGAGCCTGCTCCCCGCTCGCTGCCTCCCCTCAACCACGACAGCTCTTACCGGATTTCATAATTGCCCGTTATTACAAAAACCAATTAAAATCAGGAAGAAGGGGGAGAGGCAAGGCGGCGATGAACCGGAGAGGGCTCTCGGCCTCGCCTGGTGGCGGGGCGCCCAGGGCTGGCCGAGGGGTCCAGGGCTCCGGCTCCCTCCCTCAGACAGTGAGGCCTTGGGGTCTGGGTCGGCTCAGGATGTGTTCTGGGGTGCAGGCAGCCCCATAAACGCTGGCCTGCACTTGGGGACCGACGGCTGATGGCTCTGGGGAAGGCCAGGCAGCCCTGGGGGCCCTGCCCCACTCTAGGACTGGACAGTCGTGGGACCCTGCACCCCCACCAGGGCCCAGGAGCGTCCTGCCCGTCTGGCCTCGGCCCCCCTGGGCTTGGCCACAGGGCAGCCCCGGGCACAACTACACCTCAGAGTGCTCACCCTGCCCACCCAGGACAGCTGGGCCACCGACTCCGGGGACAGTGTTACTTGCCCAGGCCACCAAGAGCCCGCATCACCCACAAAAGCTTCCCGAGCTCTACAGCCAGACTCGTACCCATTTCCCAGGCAAGTGAACCGAGGCTGGGAGATGAGCACCCACCCACTCCCCAGGCCTGGGCCTCAACCGCCACAAGGACCCCTCAGCGCAGGCAGGCCCTGTGGGCTCAGCCCCTCCCCCACAGTCAGCCTGGCTGCAGGGCCGGGGGTGGGGGGGGGCAGCTTCCGCTCTCGTCTCCATCGCTGTCTCCATCACTCACTTGGGAGCACATGGTGCATTAAGCCTGCCGGCTGGCAGACCACAATCACCGGGGGACGGGGTGAGCTCAGCCCAGGCCTCCTATGGCAGTGACAGCGAACTTGACACGCGTGTCAGGGGTGACACGCGAACTAATTTTCTTGGTTGATTTTTCTTTGTTAAATGGCATTTAAATATATAAAATAAATATTAAAAATATAAGTCTTTGTTTTACTATGGTTGCAAATATCAAAAAATTTCTATATGTGACATGGCACCAGAGTTAAGTTAGGGTTTTTCAAAATGCTGACACGCCGAGCTCAAAAGGTTCGCCATCACTGTCCTATGGCGTCTGGGGTCCCTCTGGGCAGCGCCCGGCTGCGCCCCTCCCAGAGCAGGTGGGGGCTGCAGCGGCGACAGGAGAACCCACCAGGGGCAGGAAGTGCCAGGGCCCGTGCTTCTAGGTTCCGGGTTGGGGGACCCTGGTGCAGAGGCTGAGCAGCCCCAGCACTGACCCACCGGCCTTGGGGGTTACCAGAAGGGCCACCCTGTGTGACAGCGCCTCCGCTGCGGCTGGGATCAGAGCCTGCGAGGCGTCAGCCCGGCGTCCCGCTCAGCGTGTCCCCTGATGAAACGGGGTTGTGACCCGGCTACAGGGGCCGGGGGATGGGGGGGGCCCTCTCACGGGACACACCACCCGGTGTCTGCCCCCCACACACACTCAGTAGCTGGTTCCTCATACTCCGCACACACACACCACTCCCCTGGACCATCCTCACCGCAGAGCCAGGCGTGGGCACAGCCCAGGGGGCAGGTGTGCTGACTGTAGGGAGGTGTGTGTGCCCCCACGTGTAGGTGGGCTAGAGGCAGGCCCCCCCAGCAACCAGGGAAGGCGCTGTCCATGGTGCTGACTGCAGGCGAGGCCTCGGAGAGGGAGCAGGACTGGGCACCAGCGCCCCTGGGCACCCTGAGCCTGTCTTCGGGAGACGCTACTCAAGGCCTCATGGGGCACAGAGAAGGCAGGGGTGAGCACTGACTCATTTCATTCTCCCCCCTGCCTGCCTGGCTGTGCCCCAACTTGTCCCCATGCCCGTCGGGACATCAAGCACCCGTCCCCATGGCCTCTCGGTCTCGTGGGATCTCCAAGGACCCCGGTGGGAGGAGGGGGAAGGCTGTGGCTGGGGCCACCCACTGGGGCACTGTGTGCAGGAATAAGGCCACGCAGACCCACACCGGGGCAGGGGAGGGACCTGGGCAGGGAGGGGCCACCACTCTGGGGAGGAAATCGTAAGCCAGGCCTCTGGACGGAGGACAGTGACCCGCTGGATGCGCTGGCCCCGGCCCCTCACCAGCTCACCGCTCCGGCATCAGAGGGTCACAATTCGGGGCTGGGCCTCGGGCTGAGCCACGGTGGGTGCGGCTACCTCTTGGGGCAGGTCCCTGACAGAGGGGAGGTGCTGAGCTGCTACTTAAAAGCCAAACTGCTGCTCTCTGCCTTCAAGGGTGGTGGCTGGTGCCTGGCGCCTGTCGGCAGGAAGGACGGGACCACACTGCTTGGTGGGGAAGCTGCCGGGGACAAGGAAAGGGACAGCAGGAAGGGGCCGTCCAGGGGCCGGGGGCCCAGGAGGTGGGGGGCCACTGCCAGCCCTGGTGGGCGTTTCCTTAAGTAACACCCCACAAACGTCCTGGCCTCCAGCCTGAGACGGAGGAGAGACCCAGACACAAGTCATCCACACCTGGGACAGACACACGGCCCACGTGGTCACAGACGATGCACACACCCTCACAGCTCAGACATGCTGCCCCGGGACCCCCACAGGCACCCAGGCCCCTCCACATTCAAGCACATTTTCACAGAACAGCCACCCAAAACGCTCCCAGACACGCGCACTAACACTGCATGCCTGTGCTTAATAAAATTACCTGTAATTTTAAAATGTTTCTGCGTTTGCAGCTTTTAAAACATTTTGGCAGGAAAATTACAGCCTCCAAGTGCAGGAGAAAAATGGGTCCCATTACATCCAGACACAGAACATCACCGGCAGGAGGATAAACCGGCTGGCTCCCCGAGGCCAGCGCCCTGGCCCTCCCAGGGCAGGCTGGCCAGACGGCGAAGCTGGGACCCAGGACGCCACCCCAAGCTTACCAGTGTCCACCTGCACCTCCCCAGCCGCTTGCTGACTGCCTGGGGCATGGCCGGACCCGCTCCCCAGCCAAACAGAAACCCAGCTGGGCCAGAAGCAGACCCTGACCCACAACAGCCTCGGAGGGGAGGGTCCACCGTCAAGGTCCCCACCCAGCCTTGCCCCCCTGAGCCGTCCCTGCCTCTCACACCCCGAGCACGCACCCTGCCCTCGCCTGTCCCTGGCTGCCACCCTCCTTCCTGCTGTGGCTTTCCTGGTCTGCATCTTTTCCAGGTGGCCTCGGGCACGGTTGGTGATGCCATCACCTCCAGGCCCATGCAGGGTGGGTGCCAGCAGGCCCTCTGCTGTCGGCCCTATGGCCACACGGCTCAGGGTGGCAGATGGCCGGGCAGCAGGCCATGTCCTTGGAATGGGGTGGAGGGCTGGGTGCCCACAGGGGCCAAGCCTGTGCCCAGAAGCCCCTCACCTGGCAGCCGGCACAGCCTCGGTATGGGGGCTGGGCACGGTGGAGGGCACCATCTACATGCAGTTCAAGAATGGCAGCCGCTGCCCAGCGGCCGCCAATTGGGTCTGCAGCTGCCCGCGGTGGGTCAGGGGTTCCCCACCTCGGCCATTACCGGCGGGCGGAGGCTGCCGGCCCCGAGCTGCTGGGGAAGCTCCTGTGGGATTTTCAGGCTACGGCCCCGCCTGGGGCCCCCTGCTTTCTGCGCAAGGCCCGCGGGAGGGACCTCTTCTCCATGCAGGCAGGTGTCCCGGCGGCTGAGGAGCGCAGATGAGGGGAGAAGCAGGGACCTGGCCATGCCCCACACCCACTGCCCCCAACCCCCCGTCAATCCACAACCCACATGCCCACCCTGGCGACGCCTATGGCTGCCAGCTCTGGTCCCCATCTCAGCCATCAGTGCTACCCAGGCCGGTGCCCCCTGCAGCTGTCAGCGTCCCCACCCCTTCCCACGCCTGCTCGGAGCTCCAGCTGCACCACCTCTCTGTGGGCTCCGGGCCTGGCCCCTGGCAGAGAACAAACTCTTAGGGTGACCCTCCAAAAAGCAGGCATCTTGGGCAAGAGCCGTCTTGGGTCACACCCCACATGTGACCCCAGGCTAGCTGCCCTCCCAGTGACCCCTAATGCCCCCCAGAGTGGGAGGGAGAAAAGCCAGGGCGCAGGGTGGAAGGGAGGTGCAGAAAGGTAGACCTGGGTTTCTAGGCATCTGTCCTCAGCTGGACCACATGCAAATGAGCATGCAAATGAGCATGCAAATGCAGCCTCCTTCTGGTCCACAGCCCAGGCGAGCGAGAGCCACACCCCTCACTCCCAGGTGTGGAAGGAGGGTTGCCCAGGAATTAATGAAGGAACCAGAGTGACCTTGACATCCTCTCTCCAGCAGCACCCCCCCTGCCCAGCCTGTGCGGTCCGAGGCCTGGCCAGGCTGGCTCCGACCTGGGCAGGTGTGACACCTGCCTCCCCACAGCCACCACCCTCCCTGCAGCCTGGGTCTGGGAGGCAGCTCTGTCCCCATCCTGGGGGAAGGGCCACCTGACTCGACACAGGCATCTCCCCTCTCAGCAAAGTTATGGAAGCCGCCCCAGCCTGTTGGAGGAAAAGGCAGCAGGCGAGGTGCCCCAGACACTCACGGTGGCCCGCCGTGCCCACAGCCCACTCAGTGTCCCCCCGGCCAGAGCACCCACAGTGCACACCCCCTCTCTCCCTTCCCACGGCTCCTCCAGAGACTGGAGTACTTCACCCCTACAGCCCCTCATAAGCCGGGGTCCCTGGGACCTGGTAGGTGGGTCCACTCGATGGGGGGGTGACAAAGAGCTCAGGCTGCGGGGATGGAGGGAAGCACCAGCCCAGCACACAGACCAGGACGGATCCCTGGCAGGTGCCGCTCAGCGCCCCGGGCGGCCCGACCGGGCACGCACGTGCGGGACACGTCCGCCTCGGCAGGAGGACACGGCGCTGCTGCCCAGGGTAGAGGCCGCCTGGACTCCCCTCCCCCCACGCGCACCCGCCCCATTGGCCGGTCCAGCCCTGGCCCCCAGCCAGAGCAGCGCCCCTGGGACCCCGCCCCTGCGACCCGCACGTCCCACCCCGTTCCAGCCGGAGCCGCGGCTCTCGGTTCTCCCTGGGTCCCTCCACGAGCGAAGGCGACCCTGGTCCCCCCGGCCGCGGCCACTCACCCAGAAGAGCAGGTTGAAGGCGAACATGAGGTACTTGACGCCCTGGAGGCAGCCGCGCGCCAT